GGTTACATGGTTGTTTTAATGTACTCATATTGATTAATATGCACTGTCAATTATAAGATATATAAATTCAAATTTAACACAACTTGTAATAGTTTTCCCACATGATCAGTAGGCTGATTATTAGTGAAAAGCAACGTAATTTATGTCGTCAAAAGGAAAGCATCAACTTACATGAGAAGATTTGTGCAATTATTCTTATTGCCAGAAGGGGGAGACATTTTCCCCAAATGAGAATTATAATTATTAAATGCACTGAATATTGCTCAACATAAACTACGTAATACTTTTATTTTAACTAGTAAATAAACATATTAACTTTTTTTTTTAAGTTATCAAGGAATTTAGATAATGTCTCTGATACTAACCCTTCGAAATTGTTAGATTTGGACACGACGACTTAAACCAGTAATATTATGAATGTAAGGAGGAACAGACCTGGTTTTGTTGTCAGCGGGACCTCCTCCGCAACACAGGCAGCAACACAGCACAGCAAAAAACAGCAGGAACAAGGGAACCAGCACGCCTGCGAGCACAGCACCTCGACCACCTGGTGGACACGCAACATTGGAGATCCTTTAAGCTTAAAAGGAAACACTTGCATCATGAAACAAAGATCCAGCAGGTGGGTGGACATACTGTAGGGGCAAGCACCAGTGACGGGGTGGCAGCCCACTCCTTCACCACAGTCACAGACGGACGAACAGTTGAGGCCAAACAGCGGAGCGGGGCAGGTGTTGTTGCAGCTGGAAACGACAGCGACACTCAGAGCACTGCTTTAAACTACGACAATGATTTATGTGGTAATTTGATGCTTGCTGAACAACACGGAGATGTTAATAAAATTGGTTAGCGTGTGAAACGAGATGTTTGTTGTTTTTCTTGATGAGCTCCCACTTTCCAGCTGTTAGCATGAATAATTGTTTGGTATTTCATCTGAACCCAACCATAAATATCACTGTAGGTAGAAATGAAGATGATCAGATCCAGTTTGAAGCTTTGAGCAAAATATGAATAAATGAATTGAACATGTAGACAATAATAATACACTCTAACGAACTGTGTTTATAAAGACGTTTTACTTATGCAAATAGACATGTCCATTAGATTGTCCATATAATATTACATTTATACCAGTGAAGTCTGTTGTGGTAATTGCCTGTCAGTAGTACACAAAGACTTCCACTCCAACTTTCTATTGGTTAATAGAAAGTTGCTTTATTATACTATTACTAAGCCTTTAAATCTTTATCCTGCTGGTAAATGAAGAATTTGGAAATGTTGCCAGGAAATTTTTTGATGAATCAACTGCTTTTGCAGCGGTCAAATTAAGAACCAGTAAGCCAGTAATCGCTTCATTACTGCAGAATGACATTTTCATTGTTACGCACCACAACATAGATTATTCATTCACTATCCATTATTTTTCAGAGTAAACATTACATTTTTTTCAGAGTAAAAAATTGGTAAATGTGCGCCTTATCAAGTCCAGAGGAGTCCAAAGCGCTTCACACTACATTCAGTCCTTCTCACACACATTCACACGCTGATGGAAGCGAGCTACTGGATAGTCTGACAGACTTGGGAGACAAACTCCTACCACCATTACCCCCAATTTAAATTTAAATTCTTAAAAGAAGATGTAAATAATTTGCCATTTCTGATAAAAACGGTTATGTGGACGGTTATTACTATACGGAGTCATAAATTTATTTCTAGAAAAAAAAAAATCTATATTCAGAGTGTGGATTTGATAGTTTACCTTTCTCCTTGAAAACCTGGCTGACAGACACATCTTCCTGTCACGTGATGACAGTTACCATGGAAACAGGGACTACACAGGAAGCGGCAGGCGTCCCCGTATGTCCCGCCTGAGCAGGGCTCCTCACACCTGGACAGCACAAAAAAAGAAACAGCACAGATTCAGGAACTAAAACCACATTACAGCCACAAATAATTTAATTGGGATTTTAAACGAGAAACATAAAAAAACAGAGACAAAACCAACATAATGCAATTTGTACAACTTGGATTTCTAGTTAATAATCTATTTTCGATTTCTCTTATTTCCATTCTTCTTCTTTTTCCCTCTCAAAAACTCTTGCAAACCTGTTTCCGGTCCATCCAGGGTCACATCTCCAACATTTCCCGGTTTTTGGATCACAGCGTTCACTATTCCAGCACCGCGGACACTTATCCTTGCAGTCTTCTCCATAGAAACCAGAAGCGCATGGCTGGTCACATCGTGTGCCGTTCAGGCCCGGTTCACAGGCGGCGCAGGCACCGTCGGTGGACGAGCAAGGCCGCTTGTCTTTACAGGAACCACATCTAGAGGCAGGAGTCGGAAGTCAGGACGACGGGATGTTTTAACACTGGAAACAAACGGCTCTAAATTCATCTTTTACCTCATTTTACAACTGCTGCCATAGTACCCAGCTTCACAAGTACGGCTGCATGAAGCCCCCATGTAACCCGGGTGGCAGAGGCACTGCCCAGAGGCCGGGTCACAGCTGCTGTGTGAGAGGTCACATTTACAGTTCTTGTCACAGCTGGGCCCCCAGGAGCCTGCCTCGCACTCACAAACCCCGGTCCGCTCGTTACACGTAGACTGGTTGCAGTTGCACGTGGCCCGGCATTTCATGCCCCAATAGCCCCTGCGGCACTGGCAGCGGCCTGTTAGTGGGTCACAGCTGGAGTCCACGGAGCCACTGCTGGAGCACTGGCATGGTTTGGAGCACATCTGGGACCACCAGCCTTTGTCACAGATGCATTTTCCAGTGACACGGTCGCAGTGGCCGTTGCCAGAGCACTGGCAGGTGTTCTGGCAAAGGGGACCCCAGCGGGTGGGGTAGCACGTACACTCGCCGGTGACAGCATTACAGCGGCCATGGGGGTGGCACGGACACACCTGCCGGCAGTCTGGGGCCCAAAACGCCAGAGGACACTCTTGTGTTTAAAACAAAACAGGGGTTATTTACAAAGCAGATGGAAGACCTCTTCATTTGAATGCTACGGATCATCAGGCGAGCTTTAATGCGAGACTACGACGACTCCTGAGTAAACTCAAAATGCTACTTTCCCCCTGCGATTTAGTTAAATGTTCAATTAATTTAAGAAGGAATGCCCTATTTAAGGCCATGTGGCATAATCTCAATCAGATTTAAATCCAGACTTTGATTAGGCCACTTTTTGACACTTTGATGGTGGTAGACTTTGCCTTGTTTATTTGTGGAGAATGGTTCAAAGGGTGAATTTCTTTGTCACCCTTTACAAACTCATTGGTGCCAGTGGCTTTTAAATATTTTTAGTCTATTTCATGTTGTCCAGCTGTTTCTACTTTGGTGATTTGTTGATCAGTAATCAAAACAATCCTCTCCAGTGATGTAAAAGAGTCAATGCCAATAAAACTAATGGGCTTGATGGCACAGCCAGTTAGGACAATCACAGAGGCTCAGCTTGGTTTACACAGATTTTCACCTAATAAATAAAAGCACCATTTAAAAGCAGCTCTTTGCAATTACTTGTATTATCTTTGTCTGATAATAAAACATGTGATAATGGGAAGAATCTTTAGTGTGACAAAAACAAAGGAAAAGAAAAATGAAAGGGGTAAATATTCAATAAATACCAGTATAAAACAAAGTAGTTGTTATTATTCTAACTCTTTTCTGAAGTTGCACAATGCAGTTTTTTGCATCTTTTCCATCCAAATGTGTTTCTGCAGATTTTTCTTAGCTGTTCTGGTCTTCTAACAGACACGGCCCTTGATTTTAAAGCAAGAAATCCACTTTCCCCATTACTTATCACATCATTTTCGAAAGCATCTGCCCTGTTTGACTCGTGACTTTTGTCATGTTGCTAAGAAGATGACAAACATCTAGTATCGTTTCCAGCAGCTCACCTGTTTTACACTGAGCTCCATAGAAGCCAGGTGGGCAGCGACACACTCCAGGAAATATACAGACCTCATTCTCAAGACACGCCTGTTCGCCTTCACAGACGGCTACACACATAAACACACACACACACACAGCACGAGAATAAATAACAATCCAACACAACCTCAGACCTTCAGAGTTAACTTTGGACTTCTCAAACTCACGTATAGTGCACTCTTTTCCCTGCTGACGCCATCCAGTGCAGCAGACCGGACTGTAGGAGTCCCTGAGTATTCAAGACATGATCAATAGAGCCTAAACTACAGAAAATGCTAGAAATAGTGCAAAAAAAAAAAAAAGCCCAAAATATTAATTTTAAACGCCTTACATTATATTACAAAAACATCTACATTTTTTGAATGAGCTCTGAATTGCTGAAAACATCTGAGTCAGACAATCTCGTGTGTGTTCTGCCGCCAAGTAGGAAAGCAACAGCTGAAGCGTACCTTGAATCTTTGCAGACATTTTTCCCACCAGGATCCAGTGTCTGTGGAGAGGACAGCGAGCAGCAGAGCAAAGCGCTCAGAGCTCTGAGAAACCTCATCTTCACTCAAAACCCACCGCAGAAACGTCCTACGCCTGGAACCGAATATCTTTCTGAGTGCTTCTTGCTTCCTCACTTGTTCTGGGTTACAATGGAAGGCAGAGTTTGTCTCCTCTCCCTCCCTCCCTGGTTCTGTCCGGTGAGTCTTCTTGTGGCTCCGGTGCAGCCAGAGAGGTCAAAGCCCACCGAGTTTCCTCTCCACATTTCCTCGGGAAGTCGGAGCCACTTCCTCCAATTCATGCCAGACGCAGAGCTTTTAAGAGAATGATACACACACGGACACACACACACACAAGCACACTGACAAAGCACGTACAAGCATGCACGCACACATGGTGGTGTTCACCTTTTTCCCAGAATCTATTGTCTTCCTGGTGATGATGAGGAAGGCCTTCGTCATTCCTTATAAAGTCAAGAAATTCAGAACACCTGACTGCTACATTTCACCCAACTCTCTCGACATGACGGTCGTCACAAAAGAACAAAAATACAGCGGGGGGGGGGGGGGGGGGAGTTTTTCAGTATGTTTCATGTTTTTATTGAGAATCCAGATTTTGCAGATATGTAACATCCAGTAAAATGTATGTCTGCAAACGGTTACAAACATGCTTACAAAAATAAACTCCAAACTTTGTTTTCAGAAGACAGTCCTCTTTGGGTGTTCACCGTTTGTCCCTCAATGACATAAGCCACTGGCCTGTATGAGTAGGGAGGAGGAGGGGCTAGACAAAGTAAAAGTGGTGACTTCATCCCTGCATGTTAGCTGGAAGTGGTGGCTTTGAAAGCACGCATCAAAATGAAGTCATGACTATCCAGAAGCTTGGATAACAGCCAATCAGGGCACCAAATATCCAATACACACCGGCCAATACTGTTGCTCTGTTCAAATAATGAATGACGTAGCAGCAGAAAAATACATCTTAAACGATATAAACAGTAAGTTAAGGCGTAAGGGGTAAAAATGCTAGAGCTACCAGAAAGAAAGAGGAAATAAAATGATTCAGAGGCAAAAAAAAAAAAAAGTTTTCTATTTTTCCTGTGGATTAAAGCTCCCAAAATCATGACAGATATTAAACCTAAGAATTTACTACAGAGTTTAAGGAAAAAATATATTCACCTGAAATAAAATGCCACCATATAGAACAGATAAGTGCTTCTTATTATGACAAACTTCTATCATACAATATAGGTCAATACTTCAACTGAACAATTCACAAATTCAAGAGCAAACCAGTAAAATTAGAAATAAGTTGTTTTTTGTTTTTTAGCACGTGTCCAATATTCATGTGGGCATTTGCCTACCAACAGTGAAAAAACTGAGAAAAATTAAATGATCTTCCTGTCTTTGGTCTTAGCTAAATATATTTGAAGATAAATATAAAAATATATACTATGTTAGATTTCTCCATAATTAAAAATATTTAAATGTTTCTCGTATATAAGTATAAATACACTTGATTGTTTTAATTGCTGAACAAAAAAAAAGGTTTAAGAGTTTAAACATGTCCCTCTTGCATTTACATTAGTACCACTTAATCAGTGTCTAAGCTCTTACTGAGCAAAAGTCATGACTGAAAGACAGCTGAAAAGTGAGAGTTAGAGGGTTTGTTTATTAAAATTACTGACATATTACTATGTCTTCTCCTAAGATACTTAGTTTTGTTTCACCCAAGCACGAGGAGCGCTAAAATAACTTTCTCTGAACCAACAGGTGCTCTGCTACGAGCTGCAGGGTGAGGGGGAGGAGCGGCTGAAAGCAGAGAGGAACCTCGCAGCAGCCTCTCCCGACCGGCGTTAAGAAGTCGGCTGTGGCTCCGTCTCCTCGCTGGCCTCCGTTTCTCCCAGGATCTCCCAGCTGGAGGCAGAGTTGCTCATGTGGGTGGGGTTCCTGATGCTGCCCGCGCGCGTCAGAAAGCCGAAGCTGCGGCCGACAGAGTGGAAGAGACAGGCCTCGGGTCAGACATGCGGTCAGGGATTATAGCTAAATATAGACAAGGATTGGCAGATGATCGGGACAGAGGCGGTGGAGTGGAACTCATGCCGCTGTGTTTCTGTGGCTCGGTTTGCCTTCATGTGAGAATGCTTTTTATTTTTGCATCTTTACTGCTGCAAATTTACATATATAAAGCGTTTTGTAAGAAAAAAAAAAAAATTCACTCAAACTTTTTCACATTTTGATATCATAAGCTAAAATGCATTTTACTGGCATTTCGAGTGACAGACCAACATGGGAGCAACATGAAATCCAAATGTTGTGCAAATAAAAATATGAAAAGTACGGAGTGGATTAATAATCATCCCCATGTGCCAAACATTTGATAAACCCCTCCCCTTTCACTGCAAGTACAGCTTCCACTATTTGAACGATCGTCTCTATCAGATCTGCAATTGAAGTGTCTGACCTTTTTTTTTTTTTTTTATGAATAAAAAATGAGCAGCAGAATTTCAACTCTAGTTATTTCTCAACAGGACACTACATTGGCCGCTCTAACACGCCACTGTGCTATGTTTGATCTAAACCGTTTCACTGTAGCTCTGTCTCTGTGTTTAAAGTCAGCATTATACTGCAAGGTGAACCTCCGCCCCAGACACAACAGCTTTTGTAGCTTCAAACAGGTTCTCTCTCTTTCAGTTCCTCCATTCAACACTGACCAGCTTCCCTGTTGATGAAAAGCATCCTCAGAGTATAACGTTGCCAACGCCTTCTTTCGCAGTGGGGATACATACAGGGTGTTCTGTATGTAAAGGTTACATTTGGACCTGAACTCTGACCCCTACAGGCTTCAAGCTGTAACCACACCTACGCCTGGCCAACCAACTCTACTTTCAGTGTGAACTTACAGGTGCCGAATGCGTGACTCAGCTGGTTTGCTAGGCCCGTCTACTTCTGAGTGATCCACTTCTGTCTGCCCGTTCAGGGAACCCGTCTCTTCCTTATCACTGAAGACAAACATATGGCTGTATTTCTCACCTCTTTCACATGTTTCTTCATCTAGACTTTACTGCTGGGTGAATTTCGGGATGTGAGGAATGCATTTTGCCTCTAATTCGTACCTGATGCTGCAGTCGCTCAGTGGAATCCCCAGCATCTTCGCCTTTATCAGCTTCCTCCGCTCTTTGATTGCCGATCGGACAGCTTCCAAAAGGAAGCCTGGACACCTCTCCTCATTCAAAATCTCCCTGCAAATAGACGATGATAAAAATAAAATAAAAAAAACAATTAGGAAACTCTAAGAACTAAATAGTCAAAAGTGCACCTGAATCTGAAATGTTCCTCATCAATATTCAACTGAAGCTCTTTAAAACCCACCTCTGGTAGTAGCTGAGCTCCTCCTGCACCAGGAAGAGGTTGGTTTTCAGCTCGTTCCTCTCAAACAGAATGTCCCGCACCTCCTTCTTTGTGAAGCACGGCTGATCAAAGTCGTTCTGCTCAACGGTTGGCTTTTCGGCCGACTCTTTAGCAGTTTGACTTGGACTGGGCAGCTGGGGGAACAGAAACTCATTAGTCTATGCAACAACAAATAGCTAATAACCTCTCCTGAAGAGCAACTGAACTGTGTGAAACTTTGAGAAACGAAAACGACGAGTCAACAGAATGTGCCGTTCCCCTCCTGGATTGTTCAACTCGGCAGTTCAGAATCTCCCCTTTCCAAAATGAACATTTTCTTGACATGCTTGCATTTGAGAAAGGCCAAATTTAACACTTATCATCCAGCCAGTGCAGATTGGATTTGGCATGTCTATTTGTTTTTGCACGTTGAGCTCGCACAACGTGCAAAAACATTGCTGCCTTTTGACGAAGAGGAATTTCCTCGAAACGGTTTTTTTTACAGGACAACAACCCTGACACCAGTATGTGGTTCCAGATTAGCAGGGTTAGCATTATGGAGTGGTCAGCACAAGGCCTGAACTTAAAATTAACAGAGAAGTTGTGGTTTGACAAACAGCGCCTACTTCTGTGCTTCATAGGAAAGCTGAATCTCCCAACCCCGTTTAGGTTATACAGTACTAACATTCAGTTTTCCCCAATTTGACTTCAATTTTAAAACAAAGATAATTGTTTACAACACATTTGCATGTCTAAAATACATAAGAAGAGTATTAAAGGCAACAAGACCACATACAGAGCTGTTTCCGTCGGCTTTGTTCAGCTGTGCGTTGGCTTTGTTCAGCTGTCTTTGGAGCCTTTCTATCTCCTTGTTTTTCTCCTTCAGGTCCGTCTCCACGTCGGCCTTCCTCTCCACCATGCTCTTCAGCTGCGTCTGCAGCACGTTCTGCTTGTGCCGCAACTCTTCGTTCATCTTCATGAAGCGGTCCAACTGCTCCTGGAGCTGCACACGCATGAACACGCATACACACACACACACACCCTTGTAATGGCGTCATGAGCAGTGAGGCAGATATTTGCTGTTTGTCTCAGGGGTTAGAAACAGAGGTACAATCAATATGCCGCTGCTGAACATAAAGACAGGGAGCCCGAAAACATCCATGTTTGTGCTTGAAGGACGTGGTGAACAAATAAACCACACACTGTCAAAACAAATACACTGAGTAGGGTTTCCCCCAGAAAATTTGCTAAGCCCGGTGCTCAGGGCGCTAGAGCAGTCATCCAGTCGGCTGCCATGTTTTTGAGTTAAAAAAATGTTAAATGTTGACAGGAAATTTGAAAATCTCACTTGATAGTTATGCGTTATTGGAAGACTGGACGATTAATATCTAAACACCATCAATAAAATCTTTAAAAAAGGCAATAATTTAAAAAAAACTAAAATAAAAAAAAACAATGCTTAGCTTGATGGGGGCACAAGTAAAGCCTGGTGGCCCACCAGGTTTATAATCAACTGGGGGAAACCCTGTATTTAGAGAAAAATATTTTAAACACCAATCCGGAGACAAAATCAAATGAAAACGTCATGAACTAAACTACGTCAGTTGACATTTAAGGTTTTCTTTTTATCCTTTATGTCAACTGATTGGGAGCAACAAGTTAAGCATTAACAAACACACCCAGACTTGGCAGTTGTATAAATCATGTGGTGTGCGTGCCCTGACAGACACAGAGACACATGCAAGCAATCAGTCCAAACTACACACTCATACACACACACACGTATACATACACAGAAGCTGTGGGCAAAAACAACGCTTGGGCTTGCCTGCAAGCAGCAACAATTAGATGAATCTCTTCAGACTTTTACCAACCGCTCACCGACTCGCCCTCATCCAGAGTCCTTATTCATGTTCTTTAGAAGCTCTAACTTCTTTCTGAGTGCTTTATAAAACATTTCTGAATTGATGTTTAGCTTCTTGTAGTACTTTAAAGTGATCTTCCTCATCGCTTTAAGTTTATGATGCTTTTTCAGGATTTTTCTGTCTAGTTGTACCAACCTGATTGTGGCAGCTAATTACATAGTGAGAACTTTAGACCTTAAGATGATCACCTGCAGCATAACCAACTAATTTATCAGATAAGTACTCGATGGGAATCATCTGTGAGTCATCACTGATATCTTTCTTGGTGTTTTAGCAGTTAAATGGTACAAGCACGACTGTTTCTGTGCTTCCTTACCGCTTCCACCTCTTTGGAGACTGTGGCGATCTCCTGGACTTTCGCCCTCAGCTCGTCTCTCTGCTTGTCCACCACCCCCTTCAGCTTCAGCATCACCTCCCGCTCCTGCCTCTGAGCACGATCTAAAAATAACAAACGCATGTTTTTTTTATAGGCAGAGGAAAGCAAAGGTACAAAATGGCACTGCTATCAGATTTCTTTGCCATCATTACAAAACATTATGAAAGACCGAAGGTACTGCAATCCGCTTAGTGTTGCATTGAAAGCAGCTAGCTACGAAACGTGTGCTTTTAAACTGGTGCTTCATGCACAAATTCACAGAACTCTAATTGTGTTGCAATATCATATAAACATCTGATTGACAAACACCAAAGTATACAACTCTGGGAAATCATGAGAATTTTTCTGAAAGTGGAGTTCCCAGTTCTCCAGCCTGACAAGACGATTGTGTCACAAACATTTCATCACAAAGCTAACACAAACATACCACAGATAACTCCCTATTATTCACTGCTGTATGGAGTGCAAACTAAAACATTGTGGTGGATGTCTACACCTGAGCACAGAAAGATAGATACCGCACACACATACCATTCAAGTAAGATATGTTTTTCACCATATTTGAATAAACGGACTCCGACTTCAGACATGGCGCAGCTGCACTAAGAGAAGAAATAAAGTGCATGTCCTAAGCCCAAACCTGTGTGATGGTTAGTTTTAGGTCTGTGACTGGCTGGTGAGACATAGTTCTTGCATGTTGGACGGAAATAGAAAATGGGGCGATTGAGGTTTTGTCAAGACAAAAAGACAAAAAAAAAGGAGGTAAATGAAATTAAAAACTTGGCTATTTTAGTCTGGTAAACGTAAAGCTTGATATTTGAACTAAGCTTCATGAAACACCAAAGCCTATTAGCTTTTACTTTCTCTAGTTCAAATTAAGTTGTTCTACTTTCACATCCTCCCACATAAAACATAAGAGTCAGCATAACTCCAAGTCTACTTTTACATGTTTGGATTCTTCTTTGCGAATACAAGACAGATTTGGTCTTTTATGTTGTTGAAAATTCATTTGTAAAAAATATAACACATAATTATTTTTCTGTTCTGATAATATGCTCCTTGAACTCATCATAAACATGAATATCGTTTTTTTAACATTTATTTGGTGAGCTCTGATGACACGCCTTTATTCACTTTTAGACAAAAATATTTTGGATAGCTTTACATTTATTGAGGATTGTATCAAATCCACACAGAAGTAATTATACACACAGGCTTGCACATATCATATGTGGTAGATCTAATTTTAACAATTGGTTTTCTGATGGTACTTTTAAGCATGATCTATCCAGATCCAAGGTTGGAGCCACTCACATTAGCTTAATGTTAGTCTGCCTTCATATGTTTTAAAACCTGCTGTGATCATTGCCCTGCTCTCAAAGTTTTTTGCTGTTAATATTAAGGTAAAATTGACCAATTATACCTCTATTTTTACTGTCAGCAAAGACAAACCTATGGCATGATGCCGCCACTACCAGATCTAACTGCTCGCATAATGTTCTTAGGTTTAGAAGCTTTAGCTTGTCTCCTAATTGTGGGTAGAAATTTGCCTCGTTTGGAAAAAATAAATTTTCTCCAGAAGACTTTTAGCTGGTGTGGATATTAGCACATTTCAGTTTGAAACAGGCGGTTCCAAAACACCCAAGCATCTTTCTTGGTCGGCAAAGTTTTAGTTCATGTTGACGTGAAACTACAGTGACTATTGTGTTCATAAGAGCCCCGTGCCTTGGGTGTTCTAGAACTTCCTATCATTCAGGTTTTGTATCATTTCAGACAGAGCAGTACTGAACTTTTGCGAATTACACTTTCAAATTCTGCCTCTGTCAAGAAACCAAACAATTCAAACAAGCTCTACCAGTTCTACTTAGCAGTGGTCAAATATCCAAACAAAAAATGTACCAGAAGCTTGTTGTTGACTGCGACGTGTAAAGTAACTTACAAAGTGTCATTTGGTAAAATACTGCAGGGTTTCCCCCAGTGTAATATAAGCCTGGCGGGCCACCAGGCTTTGCTTGAGCCCCCACCAGGCTAAGCACTGCTTATTTACTTAAGTCTTTTTAAAAGGTTTGCATTTTTAAGACTTTATAGTTGGTGTTCAAGTGTTAATCTTCCAATCTTCCATTAACACATGATTATAAAGTGATGTTTTCAAGTCTCTTGTCAACTTTAAACATTTCTTAACTCAAAAACACGACGGGCCTTTGGATGAATGATTGCCCGAGCGCCCAAAAACACCTTGCTTAGCAAGTTTTCTGGAGGAAACCTTGTACTTTTATACTTTTGACACAATGTGGACAGAGAAAACCCAGTGCATGAAAACATGTGGACCCAACTCTTGTTTTTAAAGAATCCTGGATGTTTTAAGCTGAAAGTTCCCAGAAAATGTTTCAAATAAATTATTAGATTTCAAAACTATTATGGCATTCGTACCCATGACAAATGAAAGCAAAATTATCTCCGTAATCCTACCTAGGAAGACAACATGCTTTCCACAAGATAATATCTGTCGGTGTGGGCCTCCTCTTTATGTTGACATAATAAACTTTTTTTTTTTTACAGAGGCTTCTTCTCATACCTGGAGAATTAACAAAAAGAAAGCACACCATGTGCGTTGCGAACACTGTATTAACCAGTTGGTCTACTCTCGAGTTTAGCATGAATGCCTTACATACAATTAAGCCACTGTTTTGAATGTGTGCTGTGAGTATCTGCATTTCTATAAAGCTTTTCCATGACAAAAATAGGGAAACCACAAGGGCTGGAGGCGGGATTACCTTGTTAGAGCAGAGCAACAAGATGCTTAGGTGAATGTCATTTAAAAAAAATAAAAAATTTAAATCCATTGCAGTCCATTCTATAATCCTGAACATGGTGCTGTATGGTTTCACAATCCAGATCCAAACATATCCTGTCTGAAATGTGTATTCTGTTACATGTAAAATGTTAAAAAGTTTGATAGTGTAAGAAACGACCCCAAAGGAAGATGTAAAATCTAAATGTAAACAACAGTATTAGCATAAAAACTAAACCATAATGGTAAAACTCAAGACAATTGCCTAAGTTGACCATAAAAAGTTCAACAAGTATTTAAAGAGCACACCTTCCTGGGCATAGGTGCCCTCCAGTCTGCTCTTCAGCTCCTTCTTATCATCCTGGAGCTTCTGCAACCTGGCCTGCAGCTCCTCACATCTCCTCTCCCACTGTTCCTCCTTCTGCTGCAGCTCCTGCTCCAGAAATAGGAGAAAGATGAGGAAATCATAACCTCAGAGGATCTGTAATTAATGTTATGATGCAACGATGCAGAGTAAAAACTCTCGTGAAAATTTTGGAACCGGGACCAGTTCTTTTTTATATATACAATATGCCACAATGAGTGTGTCGCCTTTTACTTGATAATGTTTGTCATCTTCTCAAGTGGACAGTTAACAGGAAATTGTATGATTTGGCACTCATCACTTTCTAATGCGACTCTGGACAACTGCCCAAATCAAACACTGCTACCTATCTCAAAATTATGATCTTACTATGTTATAAAGAGTTTAAAATATCATCTGATAATTAACAGTTTATTGCTATCTCTTAATGTGAGCTAGTTAGGTGTTTATTATTAAATAATATCTAAAGTAAGATGTGAGATATTACTTTAAAGTAGTATATTTATAATTATGATATAAAATGGGAACATAATCTCATTACTGCTTTCTGATTATTACATTATCACATAAGTGAGACACTATTCCATATAATTATTAGATATCCATCCATCTACAAATACCTACTTAACTGTGGAAGTTACAGAAAATATATTTTCTCAATATTATGTGATAGTGGTAATATTGAGGAAGCCTAGTGAACCAGCTGTGTTGTATTTAATGAGATTAATGAGATAATTTTTTTTTCTTCAACGATTCGTCAATATTTAAAACGCTCAACCAAGACGTTAACCAAGTAACTGATCTTGTTGTCTTGACGACGAGGGATTTAAATGGGGTTATTTGTAGAAATGGCAAACCAAATAACTACTTCAGTTACAATAAATATATGTCTTGTAGTTACACCCAACTTCAAGTTCCACTATAAAATTGCTTACTACACTTTAAAAGTTGAAATGTTGAACGTCTTAGCAACATTTTGTGGAGGTCAGCCATGTAAACCGTTGGCTCACAGCAGACAGAGCTGTTTGTTACTGTTACATGGTTAGAACGTTCTCCTAAGAGAAATACATAGTTCGTTAAAAAAAAAAATACAAAATGGTGGCTGCATTTAAAACTCACCCGGATTTCATTTTTCTCGTAGCCCTCCTCGCCGTCCTTCCCCCAGCGCTTCTTCTGCTGCTGAAGCTGGATTTGCTCAAACGTCTTCAGCAGCTCCTCTTCCCTCAGACAGAGCGACTGGTTGCCGGAGACGAAGCTCTCCAGCAGCTCCAGCACCTTCACTATCTTCGGAACCAGACCCTCCACGCTCTCTTTGCCGTAGCCGTCGATAAGCTTCTCCACCTCAGCGCCGACCAGCTTGGCTATTTCGTACACATCATCGACAGTTAGGGTGGAAAAAGTCCTGTTAAAGCAGCAGGACTCCTGCGGGAGTCTGCTCTCTGTGCCCGTGTCCATGATGTCTGAGGCCAGCAGCAGTAGGAGTTCGCTTCACATCCTCCCGCCCCCCCCGCCCCACTTAAAGCAGGCTCGTCTGCTCTTTGTGAAAGTGAAACGGAGAAAGTAAATTCTTCCAAACCTCGCCTGCTTTGGTGTGCAACTTTAAAGCGCATACACTGAACACACGCGAACATGTCCGCTCATGTTCCCAGCTCTCAATTATTTAATGCTGTCACGTCAAACCCTGCAAGACGTGCTGTGGTGGGACAAGACTGGGCACCGAGCAGTTCTCTGTTGTAAACCCGCTACAGGACCCTCCTCCTCTCCTGACCAATGTAACGCCAGGGAAACATGCACCGACACGATGCCAGTTCCTGAAGACTGAAGAACCTAGCGGAGCGTGAAAGCTGGGGTTTCCTCTCTGCAGCTAAAACTACAATTAGCATCTGCAAATGCATGCAGTTGTAAAACATGGCAGGACACTAATAAAGAGTGCAAAATCATCTATACCCCTTAAACTTTTTCATGTCAAAAACTTTTACATATTACAGACAGAAGAAAACTACAGCATACATTTATTTGTGTTTGACGTAGGTAATCATTTACTATGTGACTTCTGAATTGTCAATGGGCAAATTTATAAGGCTAACAAAGGAAGCAGTGTTCACTAGTACTACTAGAGTAAATCTACATGCAGAACTTCCGCTTTACTTCCAGCTCTTGTACATTTCAGAGAAATCCCCAAAAGGAAATTGTCCAAACAACTTCTATAAAAAGTGATTTTTATTTAAACCCAGCATTTAACATCATAGGATGTACAGTTGGAACACGTTAACAGGGTATTTCTAGTATGAAAATGCAACTTTCAATTTCATTTCTCAAAGGGAGAAGAGGAAGTCGTGTTTAACCTTCTGAAGTAATGTCAAAATTACACCAAATATTACGTCCTGAAAAACACTAGTTCACATACAAGTAGCCACAAGAACCAAGACTTAACAAGAGTTTAACTGTAATAAAGAACAAAACACTTATGGAAAATAACGAACAAAACTAATTTTTAAAAGCTCCTCAAGTCTTCACATAAAAAGAAATGCAAAATATCACAACTGAGCGTCTTATTAAGAAATATTACAGAGACATTTCTGGACTGGCTCTTCATGATTCTGGCAGAGCTATCTACAAAGATTTGAAGTGCAGGAAGGCGGCGCTCAGCCGAACATGTCCTCTCTGTCAGCGTTGTAAATCTCGCCCTCCTGCAGCGAGGCGAAGTTTAAGAAGTGTGAAGGCCGGTGGACTTCATGGTAGAACTCTTTGGGGTTGGACAACTGCAGGTCGTACTTCATGTTGGGATCGTGGCGCACACCTGTTGGCAAAATTCATTAATTGTACCAGTTCTGGAAAAAAAAAAGTAAATAAAAAGAATGAAGAACTAAAAAAAACTAAGGATACCGACCCATGAAGTTGTAGTTCCAGGAGACTTGGCCGGGAACCATGAAGAAGCCCAGGAAGCGATCAGAGAGCAGCATTTGGACTCTTTCATAGTGGGATGGAAGGTAGCCTTTCGGGTTGTTGCCTTTATCGGTGTTTTGGCGACCCCATTCGTAGCCGCTGGGGGTTAGCTTGTAGGCTGTGAGTGTGCACGAACCAGGCGTAAAGCTGAAACAACACGAAGGCCTTCAAGTCAGAAAACTCTTCACTTTCTTACAATATATAGCAGGGTTCCTTTACATTTTCATATCTAAATACATATTTATCAATAGTTTAAGGCCCTCTTTTGGCACTGAATTGAAACCTACCTGCAGGTGATTATGATGGTCTTTTCTCCATCCCATGACGGGTTATCAGCCATGATCTTAGCGTGGGTTGTAACGTCCTGTGGGGACAGCTGAGGGGACTCGTTCGGCTGTGTGTGGATCCAGCCAAGAGGCTCCATTTCCTGATCAAACATAATACGTTTAAAACTGAACAGATGATGCACACATAAAGTTGAGAGAGCAAAATGTTTATAGTGCCATTACTTTAAGGTATTCATGAGACGGCAGCTGGTTGGGGAGGTGGACAGTCTGGTGTGTCCCCCACTGAGGTACCATGACGATACAGCGGATCTCCTTCACCTGGGGGTTGTCTGGTGGGCTGGTGCCATACAGGTAGCCTGCAATCTGAAGCAACAACAACAATTTCCACTCAGAGACTCGGTAAGATTGCAGAGCAAGAGGCGTTTGATTCCGGGGTAGTTCAGGGGGTCATACCTGAGCCCGCAGATCTGAAATGCAAATGAACTTCTTGAGAACGTTCTTGGGCAGAATGTAGGTGTAACCCGTCTCCTTGATGTCGTCAGAGGACACATAGATGTGGTTGGTTCGGAGATGGAGGTTGGCAGCAGATATGGCCCTGATTGAGAATTAAAGTCAAACGATAAAAACACATCAACGTCATCTTACAGCTGGCTACTGTGGAAGACTCCAGCTTACGCCTTCCCATTAAAACTTCAAACCAATGTTTCTACACACCTGACTCTCCACTCAGTCTTGGAAGAGAAGGTCTGAGTCTCGTAGTTAGAGGTGGTGGAGGTGATGATCTCATCTCCGTGTTTGTTGACGGTGCGGGTCTGTGTGGCGGTGAGCTGTGACTGCTCTTTGGTCTGTTTTTCGATCTCGGCAATCTGCTGACGCTGCTGAGATGGGGCTGAGATCTCCATACCCAGGATGATGTCACGGATCTCAGACTGAGTCAGGGATGCGACGTTCACGCTGCATACAGACAAAACAAGCTTTAACTACAGAATACAATCTCTACTTATTCAGAGTTACAAAATAACTTGAGCCACATTCTGGATTAAGTGAACAGAACAACTCTTACTTGTTCTTTTTGCCATAATCGGCCAGAATGAGATCCTTAAGTTGAACTTCCACTTTGATCCACTCCTCATCCGTGAGCGTGGGCCAGATGTGATGGGGTTCAGTGATTGTGGTTTTATCAGGTTTCAGGATCACCTTGGCGCGGTCGTTGTTGACGTGGAGCGCTCTTAGGATCAGGATGAGACGGGAGAAGGCCTGGATAGGGAGCAGAGAACCAGGCAAGCTTTTTACGCAGGGAAAGTCGGTTTGTTCTAAAACATCAAAACTGTCTGCAACAGCATTTTTTGGACAAAATACAGTCAATAAACAACAAAAAAGTCTTGCATGTATTCTAAGAGGCTGAACTCACAGTGTAAGACGAGATGGTCTTCAGCCAATCATCGTAGAGGTTGAACAGCACCATCTGTGGCTCCGTGGCCTTCAGGATCAGGTCTCCAAACTTTTCCACCTTCAGACAAGCCTGGAAGGGCAGCTGTAACTCCGAGCCCTTGATCACGATGTTGGGGAAGTCGAGCAAGTGCACCTAAGCAGAGACAGCAACTGTAAAACACAATTTCCATCCACAGAGGATGATCCTTAAAGAACCCGTTAAAGAGAGGAAGGTCTTACCTCCAGAGGGTCCAACATGCCCTTCCTGGTCACAATGATCTGTTTCGGCTGCTCCTCCACAGGGAGGGAGCGGATCAGGGCAGCAACTTCTTCAGCTGTTTTCCATTTGGCCAGCTGCAAAGAAAAAAAGAAGTTATTTTTGATATATCCAGCATTTTCATAATTACTGAAGATAACTTGATTGGCTATAAAAATGGCCCTATGTGTCATACCACCCCTTTAAATGAAAAAAAAAAAAAAAAACACATACATTTTTTGTGATTTAATTGTGGTTGAGATACAGCAGAAAACAGAACTTAACTAAATTCTAGGAATCCCAGATGATTTATTTGCTTTTTAATGCTTTAAGGTTAAAACTGAAATAAAAACTCCTAACCAAATTAATTTCTAAAACCAGAACAAACTCCACAGATAAAAGCCAAGTGGTTTTCACCTGTCCCAGACGTTTCTGTCCAGCCCACACAGATGTGTGGATGATCTTGAGGAACAATTGGCCTGTCCTGGGGTTGAAGATGAAAATGGCTCCATTGATGGGCTTTGTGGTCAAGTTTCCTTCAAAAGTCTGTGTTCACAAATTAAAATAATAAATGCGACACGATTCAAAATCCATTTGTCTAAATTTCAACATTTGTTTCATAACAATTCTGACCTTGTGGATGGTGACTCTGTACACGTTTGTGTCGTCCACAAACCAGATGATCTGGTTGGAGAAGAGTTCTCCGTAGTTCTGAGAGGACAGGTACGGCTCAGTGGGCTCTGAGGAGTACAGCTGCAGACCCTTGCGGATGCGCTCTCGGAGCACATACAGAGCTGGGTTGGCCTTCATGATCTTAGCCATGGCCTGCTGGATCAGAGGCTTGCTCCCAGGGAACCAGTTACCATAGGCACTGGATGAAAAGCAGATAAAAAGTAAGATTAGATACACCTTGTTATTCGCTTGAAAAAAATTGAAAAATATTCAGTAACCCTCCAAAAACGGTCTGGGTAAGTATTTACTTCACGGTATGGCAACTGAAACTAGTCACCATTTTTGGACGACTTGATCATTTCCAACAATCTCAGAAAGTGCAAGATCTAAGAAATGATTATAGTAGAGAATCACAACTACCAGACCATAATCTCCTGGTAAATGGGATCGTCAGTGAATAAACCTAACACTATATTTCATAAAGATAAACCAGTGTGAGCCCTGAAATACTGCCTTAGAAAGAAACACCATGGTCACATGGATGGATATGGATTCTGAAGCAAAGTTTTACAAATAATGACTCAAACAATAGACACCTGTGCAGGTTGTAAGCCAAGTCAATGGCAATGAGCACTCCAGTGGGGGAGGGGTAGATGCTCATGTTGTCTGTGGTGTAGTCCAGGAACTTGGCTCTGGCGTAGCGCTCAATGTCATGAGAGTCGTAGTCGCCCCATCTGAGCTGAATGTCGATCCAGTACTTCTGTGTGGTGGTGCTGTCCATCACATCCCTGAAGGAGAAGGTCAAAGGTCAGGTTTAGTTGCATGCAGAAAGGATTCCAATTCGCATTTAGATAAAGAGTTTTCACCATAAGACCTACTTTGAGTCAGCGAGTAGAGATGGGCGAGACACGTTCCACTTGTAAGACGCAAACAGGAGGATGTCTGCACAGGACGAATTCATCTTGTAGGATTTCCTGGGATGGATGGTCTCCTTCTGCACGGTTTCGATCTCCAGAGCATCGAGCTCCTGATCAAAAACCTGAGACCCAGAGAAGGATAACTCATTAAATATTCTGGAACTGTGATGCTTTTGTTCTGCTGTTTCGC